TTCGGGGGACAGGGGAGCAGCCGTGCACTTCCTGGGCCTTGGCACGCAGCTGCAGGATCCCCAGGTACCAGTCCCTGTCCCCTCTCCCCGCCCAAACCCCCACAAGTACCCTGCCCAGGACCCCACCTGCTCCCTGTTCAGGGCCCCACCAGGACCTTACTCCTGCCCCCTACCTTCTGGCCAGACACCTACCCCCAGCTTGCTCCTGCAGCCTACTTTCCACCCAGATTCTGCACCCCATCCCTATCTCACTGACTGGCAGCCCTGTCCCACACACCTCAGAGTGTAGAGGGGCCCACAAATTCCACTAACCCTCAAACCTCACAAGAATTAATCTGGCCTGAGGCCTTGAACCTCAGTCCTACCTACCTTCCCCCTACCGGGCTGGGGTGCCAGGGGAGGGAGGTGCCTCAGTTGGGGCCACATCAGTTGGATTTGGGGGGCTAGGAGAGTTTGGGGGCTTTTTTGAATCTCACTTGTGTGTTCCCTAACTTATTTTTTGTGGGTCACTGACCCCTGACCCAAAACGGGTTCCCTGCTCTTCCCATAAATAAAGAAAAGGCTGAAACATTTGTGCTGGACATATTTTATTTAAAAATGAAGCCTAGCTCACAAGGCCCCAGTTGGGGCCAAGCCCCCATCTGGCCACTGCATCATAATACCCCTGCATCCCCACACACACCTCAATCCTGAGCCTATCATACACTGGAACCCCCTGTCCTGAGCCTCTCACAGCCCCAGTCTTCTGCCACAACACTACTGCACAATCCACACACTGCAAATCTGTGTCCTGAGCCCATCATACTCCCACCCCCCCGACCTGAATTCCTCACACACCCCAACCTGAACTCCTGCACCCTCACATCCACAAGCCTGTGGTTTGCTCAGCACCCCAACCCTCCACCTGACCCCAACACTCCCCAGCCTGGAGCCCCCTTCCTGAGCCAGAAGCTTCTTCTCCACCTCTTCCTGCACCCGAATTCCATCCCAGAGCTTGCACCTGTCACCCCTTCCCACACTCAAATCCCTCATTCCCACCCCAGAGCCCACACATCCTGTCTCAACCCAGGGAGAGTGAGTAAGGGCTGAGGGCAGCAAATGATGGAGGGGAGGGAAACAGAGCGGGTGGGGCCTCTAGAAAGGGGTGAGATGTTGGGGCTTGCCCTGACATTTAAAAAGTGATCTTGGGTGTAAAAAGATTGGAGACCCTACCAATATATATATCTATATCTCAGGGGTCGACAAATTATGGAAAACCCTACTCGCCAGACAAAAAAGGGACTCGCCACCCTCCCCCACAAAAAGTGTTTTTTTAATGGCATAAATTCCTAATAAGGATAAGAACAGTAATTATTAATAAGTTATTAATAAATATCACCCAGGTTATTAATAAATATCTTATAAACCTCTACCTTTTCTCTCTGCTGCCATGTCTCCTCCCCTTGCTCCATCAGCGCCCCTGGTGCCTGCTGCCAAAGGGACTCGCCACCCTCCCCCACAAAAAGTGTTTTTTTAATGGCATAAATTCCTAATAAGGATAAGAACAGTAATTATTAATAAGTTATTAATAAATATCACCCAGGTTATTAATAAATATCTTATAAACCTCTACCTTTTCTCTCTGCTGCCATGTCTCCTCCCCTTGCTCCATCAGCGCCCCTGGTGCCTGCTGCCCCCCAACACCTCACCCTCTGCTGTCCTGACTCCTGCCCTTCTCACTGCCCTCAGCCTTCTTGAGACCTGCCCCCCTCCGCCAACCCTTCTCTCCGCCCTGTGCCCGCTCCTCCAGTAGCCCCACTCTGATTGTGTGAGCTACCTCTCCTCATCCCCTCTCCTAACACCTCCCTGTACACACCTGCCCTGCCTCTCTCCTCTGGTGCTGGTCCCTCCCCTGCAGGTGTCTGCCCTTCTGCTTCACCCCCAGAATCCCCTGGCACCTGCAC